TATTAATTTTGAGACATTGAGTGTTAACTGTAAAATTTTAAATTTTTTGCAAACTGATGATTAATTTTTTATTTCAGTTTTTTATTTTAAGTTTGAGACATTTGGTATGAGTTTTTATAATTTTAAATTTTTAGGGTCTTTTCTGCAATTTTTACAAATTTTTATGCGTTTTGCAATACTTTCATGTGATTATAATATGCTTATCTACTTGTAATTTCTTTATCTTAACAAACTACATAATTATTTTTATGTTTTATATATTTTATTAATATTAGTTTTTTTTAAACATTGTCTTAAGCTAAACATGGTTCATATAGGATTAGGATAAGATATGATTATTGATTAGGTATATATTAAGATTAAATAAATATTCAAACATAGTGAAGGGTAATATTACGACCATTGAAAAATTAGAATTTGATTTAGATAAAGATAGCTTTAAATATTAAAAGGGTATATTTGTCTAAAAAAAATTTTCCGAACTCTGTGTTTTTAAGGGATACCTAAAGTATGATATGATATAAAACCCTTACGCGAAAGAAACATTCCGTGATGCTATTCTACAAAAGATAACCTGTTGTTGCAACTTAATTAACTGGGCCTGACTGGGTTTCTACGGTACAACAACGAGTCTTCCGCTTGGACCCTTAACTGGGCCTGCTTGTGTTTCTACGGTCCAAGGGCCCACATTAACCACCTGTCCCTCCATGGCTTATTTTCTCTTTCGCCACATTTAAATTTACCCATTTTCTGTCACTCTTCTTAACTCTTCATACGCTAATATCCCAAAAGTTTAATTATATTCAAACTTCACTTACCCATCCTGGCGCCACTCGAAAAGAGACCGGAGTAGGCCTATCATTTATTTTAATTTGGGCCCCACACGGACTTTAACAGTTCATGAAGCCACCTTTCATGCAAAAAAACGGCCCTTCAATAAAGCGCCACCCCCGTCCCAATTCGCTTGTCGTTTGGGTGCTAACCAAAATCAACTGCAGAACGCCGAAGCAGCGAACACCGCAACCTCTTCACTAGTTAAAAACAACACGCTGTCGGATCGCCCCGTAGGGCCCACTCATTCGAACTACTTTATTCCCAACGGATTAAAAAACCCCACGGCGGGGCTCGTGGACCTGGAATAAGGCCCTTGCATGGTGAGATTCTCTCTAGGGTTTCGAGCTCTTTCAATTTGCTCCGTTCTCCTTGTTCCCCAAACCCTAATTTCTCCCCCAATCGCATCTCTGGCTCCCACCAACCGAATCTAACGCCCTTCGCGTTCATACCGTTCAGCCCCCAGCCGACTGCCGCTTGGAAAAGATCGCTTTCTCTTAAGGTGCAAAACCCTGGCCAAAGGTCGATCTTGGGCGGCGAATCACGAGCCTTCACGGTTGGGCAATGGGCTCGTCCTCGCTTGTTGTCGAGGTTCACTGCTCTGTTCGTTGCTTTGTTTGCTCGCCTATGAGGAGGCGAATCGGTTGGTGAGAGCTCCCCCTTTTTCGTTTTCTTTTCGGAAAGTTTGAGAAAGATGGTCCGCTTTGTTTCACGAGTTGCCTCTCTTACGTGACGCTGAGCTGTCTCAGTTGAGTAATTCTGGGCTGTTTTGTGCGTTCGTAAAGGGGCGGGTTATGTGCCAAGGATCCCATTAGGTTCTAGGATTAACCCTAACCCTGGGTTTTCGACCAGCTCTCTTTCTCAGTTCTTCCGGCCCGTCCGTACGCATGGAAGTTTACTTCTTGCTTGATCCCGGCGCAATTTTTCTAAGTTTGGGGTTTGCCCGAAGTTTCTCGCCGCTGAAGTTTGATGCCGATGACAGTGGAAGCAGCATTCTGGTTGATCGTGGTGGTGAGGATTGCTGCCGAAAATAAGCAGTCCGTCTGATTTCAGTTTTGGCTTTGAGTTAAGTTGACGAAAGGGTCGTAATGCTTGCATGATTACGATGGCGGCTAGTAAGATGCTAGAAGTGAGAGTTAGCAAATCTAGTGGGTTTGAGGCCTGAGAAGCTTTGGTCTCATGCCGAATCAATTTACTCGAATGCTTCTGTGGAGAGCATGCCAATGCTACGTTGGGATAAGCTCTTCTCCAAGGGGAACTCTACCAAAACAGTAATATCTATTCGTGGAGCTTCGAGCGTTAAAGCACGGCGGTCAATTATCAAATGCATTCCGAGCCTTTAGACCCCGAATCGATCTCGATGCCGGGGTATCGTGAAGCGCCCGGAGGCTTATACAAGAAAGCTCTCATGGAAAATTCTTCGGGGCTTTGTTGCCGTTGGCCGTTGTTTTCGGGGCTTTCATTAGACATCCCTTGTGCTGTTCTTGCGGTCTAAAGCCTGCTAAGAGGGCATCCAATTACTCCTGTAGAAGTATCCTGAGCTTGATGGTGAAGATTAGGCGACAAGGAGATTGGCATTTGATGCAAATTCAAAGTTGTAGGAAGTGATGCAACAAGATGGAGAAAGCTTGAGTGTGAGCATTGTTGCGTTGCCTACAATCTGTGTCTCTGTATGATTGTTTTGTACTTGTGTCGTCTTGTTAGCTGATGCCGAATTTGTAGCTTTTGTGCCAAGCATTTTACAATTGCTTATGCCTTTTCCATCAAGAATAGAAAGTATGCGTATTTTCCGGTATGTTTTATGTCTAAATGTTGCTTCATTGTCCCTTTCTAGTTTTTTCTTTTGATGAATATGGATAACTAACTATAGCCTGCAAATATCGGTGTAGAATATGAGTGTTAAACAAGTGTGTGAACCCGGGCATGTTTAGTTTATTCCTCTATTTCCTTCATTCTCGCCTTTTATCTGTATGATTTAGGCCGAAAATTTTGAAAAACGACCATTTTTTTCTTCAAATTTAATAAGGCAAAACCGACCGTTCTAACAAAAATATTTGCAAAATCGACCCTCTTTACACGCCGACACTAGTTCCCGTCGCCGAAAAAGGGTTGATTTTTCCAAAATCAACTCACCGACGCCCCCCCCCCCCCCGTCTTTCCCCCTATTCCTCAGCCCCTTCTCCTCATCTCTCTCCCTGCTTCTCGCCATCACCGGCCTTGAGCTCACCTAGAGCCTGCGCCCAGCTTACCAACCACCGCGTCGGGTGGCTGACGGTTCCTGCGTGGCTGATCTGGTAGCGGCCGACGAGGTGCCTGGTTTGGGGCGATAGGTGACGAGCGTGCCGAGGAGATGATAGGGCGGACGGGGTGCCGAGCTGGCGGAGCGTTGCCGAGCTGGGCGGAGCGGGGTGAGGGGGCTGTGCGATGATAGCGGTGCGGCGGTGTGGAGCATAGGAAGAAGCGGCGCATGAGGCCTGATCGGATCTGCGAGCGAGGCTTGGCGCGGGCTGTTGGCGAGGCGGCTGAGGTTGGGGAGGAGCTCGGGGCGTGTGAGCGTTGGATTGAGGGAGGCGCGGCAGCCGAAGGGGAGGTCGGCGACGGCGTCGGGGAGGCGACGAGCTGAGGGCGGATCTAAGTTTGGGTGGAGGCGGCTTGCGCTGCGCAGCTCGGGGCAGAAGGTGAGGCGCGCCTCAGGGCGGCTGGTGTGTGTGGGCTGGAGTGCATGGGCGGAGAGTGGCTACGGAGGGCTGGTCTGAGAGAGGTGTGTTAAGAGCAAGAGTAGGAGACTTTAGTGGTGATGGTGATGATGGGGGATGTGCTTCTGATGGCGACGGGGTCGGAACCTCGGATGGGGATGGAGAAGGGGTGACTAATGGAGTAGGAGCCTTGGACGGCTATGGGTGTGGGGATAAGGTTGGTGCTGGGGGCGGAGTCTTAGATGGCGAAGGCGAAGGTGTCAGTGATGGTGTAGGAACCTTGTCCGATGATGATGGCGAAGGGGTGGGTGATGGCATTCGATAAGGGGCGGGTGATGGAGTAGGAACAACGGACGGTGATGGGGCAGGGACCACGGAAGATGACGGCAATGGTGAAGTTTTATAGTTAAAATAAACTTCACAGGACTTCAGCATCTTAATTAAATGGCTGCTAAACCTCACAGGACTTCAAGTCCCATGAAGTTTTAAAGTTTTTTTTGCTAAAACCGACCCAGTTTCAGCCAGATGGCTGAAACTGGGTCGGTTTTGGCAATTATTTTTAGAATAAGTCGTTTTTTGCGATTTTTTTGTAAATAGGATGGTTTTGAAAATTTATCCATCTATGAATCTCGGGGTATTAAAGTGAGGCACGCCAACCTAGGTTAGGACCGTGATTTCGGGTTAAAATATTTGATTCTGACTTAGATGTGTCCGACTCAATTGCGACTCTTTGGTATTTGGGAAATTTAATTCTATGCCCAATTTGGTAAAGCAAATGTGACGAAGTCCCAAGACTTAATTAACACGCGAAAGCACCTTTAAAGTGAGTTCGAAATGCAAAAAAAAACCCCAATGTACATTTCCAACTCATTATTCACTTCAAAAAAATTTCCACATTTTACCCTAACTACAAACCCTTCTCTCTTCACGAGATGTTTTCTACAAATTTTTCGGGGTTATTTGCTACTTCTGAAACTTTGGGTGTCTACAAATTTTAAGGGGGTTATTCGAAAATTTTAAAACAATTTAGGGGGGTTTGCAACTTTTAGTTCGTCATTTGCAATTTGTGAAACTTTTTGAGGGGCTTTTTGGAAAATTCTAAAGCTTATTGGGTCTTCCTACATTTTCGGGGCTTATTTACAATTTTTAAAAATGTTAGGGGTTCTTATAATTTTTAGGGAGTTATTTTCAATTTTTGGAACTTTTAAGGGTTTTCCTATAAATTTTTAGGTGTTATTTGCAATTTTTATAACTTCTAAGGGGCTAAATTTATTACTTGGTTGTTAAATTATTAGTTAGATATTAATTTATGAGTTTGTTGCGAAACTTATTGGTTAGCATTAAACTTACAAGTTACTTGTCAGATTTATTAGTTACTTGTTAAACTTCCGACTTTGATATTTAACTTATAAGATAGTTGTTTAACTTATTAGTTAATTGTTAAACTTTTGAGTTGGTTATTAAGATTATTAGTTAATTGTTAAATTTATGAGTTAGTCGTTAAACTTACAAGTGCAGAAATTCATATCGATGGCCAAAATTTTTAATAAATGCCTATCATATAGTTGAAATTGTTTTAACCATTATAGTAATGAAATTGAAGTCAATTTCCGACAACTTGGAGATATAATAAGGTTAACACCTATCTCATAAGTTTATTAACTAATCACATATCAATTTCCGACAACTTGGAGATATAATAAGGTTAACACCTATCTCATAAGTTTATTAACTAATCACATAAGTTTAGCATCTAACTTTGAAATTTATTATGGTTAACACCTATCTCATAAGTTTATTAACTAATCACATAAGTTTAGCATCTAACTTTGAAATTTATTATTTAACTACAAGTTTAACAGCTAACTCATAATTTTAACAATTAACACTTAAGTTTAAAATCTAAATCATAAGTTTAAAAACTAATTCATACTTTAACAACAAACTCATAAGTTTAATCCCCTTAAAAATTATAGAAATAGCAAATAACTCTATAAAAATTTACAAACAAAATCCGCCCAAAAAGTAATAGAAATTGCAAATAACCCCTTGAAATATTAGAGCAAAAACCCCAGTAAGTTTCAAAAATTGTGGAAACCCCCTACAACTTAATAAAGCTTTCAGAAATTGAAATTGATCCGCTAAAAATTTATGGAAACCACCCAAAAAGTTTTAAATTTTGTAAATAGTCCAAAATTTTATTAAAAACCCCTAAAAAGTTTCAAAAATTCCAAATAACCCCTAAAAATTCAAAAACCACTAAAAATTCTTAAAAACCCTCAAAAAGTTTCAAAAATTATAAATAATCCTAAAAATTGCAAAACCACTCCAAAAAGTTCCAAATATTGTAAATAATCCTTCTAAAAATTACAAAAAAATATATTAATAAGTTTTAAAAATTACAAACAACCCCTTAACAATTTACAGAGCACTCGCTTAAAAGTTTCATAATTTTTGTATAACCCCCTAAAAATTTTGCTTAAAACCTTCATAAAAAGGAAGAATAGGGAAAGGGCTGTCATTACGGGTAAAATGGGTAACAATTTTTCTTTGAAACCCATGATGAGTTGGAAATGTATACTGGATTTTCTTTCATTTCAAAATCACTTTAAGGGTTTTTTGACAAGTTAACTAAGTCTTGGGGCCCAAAAGCAATTGTCCATGATACTTTTGTACTATTGCCTTTGATACTCTACATTCAACTGTTCATCTGTACAATGTATATTTTTAGCGAATTTAATTCTTGGGTACTGAATTTTAAGAGTCATTTATTATCTTATTTCTTATGATCTAAATATTTGAAGCAAGTAACTTTAACCTCTCCAAAGCATGACACCATCTTTTCACTACACAATTTTTTTTGACAAGTGGACATTTTATCTTAGCTGTTCATCCATATCTAATTTCTACCTTAGCCGTCTCTATAAATCTTATCGTTCAATTACAGGATCTCAACATATGAAATTATTTATGTAGTTACCAAATCTTTACGTGCCTAATTTTCAATTACCAAAATTTTGGAATATCTACTACTTAATAACTAAAGTAAAACCTAAAATGATACCGTAATTTTTCCAATTATCATGTATTTTGCATCCTTTTCTTCTATTTAGTTGTAATAAATTTTTCATTACCCACATATTTCAACTAAATTGGATATATATTTAACATTTCATCCATAAAACTACACCCACTAGTCTCTCATCATCAAATTTGAATTTCAAAATTGAAAAACAGTTACTATTCCCTATGGATAACAACTAGCCTTCACTACCAAAAAAAACCATATGACTTAACAACTGGTCTCCCAACGAAAAAAAGGTTAACTATCTCTCATCTCTCTCTCTGCTTTGTCTTTTCTCTGCCTTTTCAACTAGCCATTCCGAATCTTATTCCACTTCGTTCGTGAACATCAAATAAAAGGTGAGATTTTTTTTTCATTCTTTTCTTGCATATTCTTATTTATATATTTTTTTACAAATAGTTTCTTTTTTAGGATTTTATATTTTCATCTCCCTAAATTTTAGGGCTTGTTCTTAAATTCCTAATTTTATGTTAAAACTTTTTTAGGGTTTTTTTGGAATTTGCAGATGCAAACAATAAACGATGAGATTTCGCCCCTTTTTTTCTTGCATATTCTTAATTATTTAGCTTTTACAGAAAAAATTCATTTTTAGGGTTTTATATTCTCATCTCACCAATTTTCTAGGAGTTTTCTTGATCCCTAATTTTATGGACTTGTACCGGATACAAAGTCAATTAAAAAATTCTATCTCCTAATCTAGAGACATTCTTGAAAGTTCTTCTGGAAATTCTCGAACAACTAGGATCTCCAACAGACTTGGTTTCTCTTCATTATTAATTTCAACTGAAGCCATATGACTCATACATCCACTTCTCAACGCCCGATATTCTTTAAGAGCTAAGATGTTTCTTAAGCGCTCTCGAGATTTACAACCATCAAAATAGAATTCAGGCTCCTGGAAATTTAAATACTACTTTCTTTTCTCGAAATAAGATAGATTTATGATTTAAAGGTGATCAATCCATTCCTAATATGACATCAAAGTCACACATCTCTAGCATTACTAATTCTGCTGGGGGCTCCTTATCAAGAATATTGGTTTTACGCTTGCGACCTTGATTTGATACTAATATACTACCTCCAGGTGAACTAACAAGTAATTCTTATTGTAAGATATAATAGAGTAATGTTTTTCTCTTAACAAAATGCCCAACAACAAAAGAATGCGAAGCACTAGAATCAAAAAATACTCGAGCATGGATAGATGCAAAAGTTATCATACCTGTCACCACATTTTTGCCTTCTTTAGCTTCCTTCTTAGTCAAGGAGTAGACTCAAGCCATAGCTTGAGGATTATTGTTTCCTCTACTTGCTTGACCAGCCCAAAAAGTATTCCAAGTTAGTTGTCATATGGAGCGATTTGCGGTTTTGTGATCCTTTTTCCCACATCTCAAATAGATTCTAGTATTCCTCCAATAGTTCTTCGCTTCATGTCTGGTTATATGATATATATCACATATCACAACCTGTTGCTTGCAAGTTTGCTCCTCCTTGCACACTACATGCTACCTTTTTTCTCCAATTTTTATTCCTTCTACTACAACTATCTGGCCAAAATTATTTCTTTGGAAAGTTATTACTTATCTGATTCTTTGGTTTTGCATCAATTTCATTTTTTTTTTCAATCAACAAGGCATTCTCTAAAACTTCTTTATATGTAGAAAGTTCAAATATGCTAACCATCTTCCTGATGTCTAGTCGAAACCCTTCCTCGGGGCAACGAGCTCTATCCTCCTCCTTATCCAACAAGTGAGCTGCAAATTTTGAAAGATAAGTGAACTCTCCCTTATATTCAGCTACCTTTTTACCACCTTGCTCTAATTTTTATAACTCTTGTCTGTTCTGCTTGAGAATGGTTAAGGGAAAACATTTTTCATAAAACGTCTTTTCAAATTCATCCTCTGATACCTTATATGCATTTTCTCCCAAAGTTCTTAACTGCATCTACCATCACCCATATGCATAGTCTTTTGGCATGCAGATCGCATACTCGACATTTTCCTCCTTAGGGCATTTCATGTAGGTGAAGGTTTTTTCTATTTCAATGATCCAATGCTCAGCAATCATTGGATCTATAGTTTCCTCAAAAGCAGGTGGAGATAATTTCTTGATTCTCTCATGTCGCTTCTTAACTTTGATTGTTCATTGTTATAACTACTTGTCTAGTTATGGCCAATTTGATACTGCTGTGTGGTGGCTGCAGCTGTCACTACTTGTAGTAACTCCATCAATGTGTTGCT